TCATATTATTGCTTTTTTTTAAACAAAGTCCCTCTCCCCAGTCATCAAATGTCCTGAAGTTTCAACTGTCCCCAGTTGAATTCACTAGCTCCTGAGTACCTTTTGAATACCTTTTCTGTGTTCATGGAATTTCTGACCTTATGAATCTGCAGATCCTTAACATTGAGCCTGAAATGTACAGGTCTTTTGCAGCTAGGGTACAGGTATGTGACCTTTCCCTAATCAGACACACCCATGGGCAACTATGATTTGAAAACACATAAAGTGAAGAAGCATGTGGCATAGGGCAGCAAGGGTGGCAGCAGAAACACCTCGCTTTTAGAATCTCAGAAGAGATTCTAGTTTCCAATTCCCAATGTTAGCAGTAAATTTATAGTATCTCTGCCCAGAGATGACAACAGTCAAGGACTCACTGGAGTAGTTCCACAGTGAAACTTGGGTATAGTTCTTAATTGTATAGAGTGAGTACGGAAATCTGACATTTGACCAACAGGCATTACAGAAAGAGAAAAGAAAAAAAATTAAGGGGAAGAAAAATATGAAAATAACAAAAGAAGAGTTTCTAGCACTAAAGTACATGAGTTTTTGGATAAAAAAGGGCCTTTGGAATACCCAGTACAATAAATGTAAAAGTATTCCACTATGGTACATCATCAACTTTCAGAATTCCATAAACAAACAGAAGATTCTAAAAACCTTTAGAGGTCATAAAGAGTCACATACAAAAGATCAGAATCAGAATAACTTCAGATTTCGACAGCAATGTTGAAAGTTCGAAATCAATAAAATAACACCTTCAAATTCTGAAGAAAACTGGTATTCAACCTGAAATTTTCTACCTTGTTAAACTAATCAAGGGTGAGATTAGAATAAAACTATCAGATATGCAAGGTCTCAAAATTTTACTACCTATTCACTTTTTCTTAGGAAGCCACTAAAGGATATACACTATCAAAACAAGGGAGTACATCAAGATGGATGACATAGATTCCAAGAAACAGAGGGTCTAACACAGAAAGATGAAGGGAAATCCCAGGATAGTAACTCAATAAAATTCCAGACAATAGCTGTGTTGCAACAGTACAGATTAACATGGGATGATGGATGGCTTTGGGAGACAGGTCTCTGATTAAAATTAGTGAGTCTAATAGATTCCTGATACACTTGATTATGTGGAAAATAATATGAGGAAGGACTTTATAGTTGTTAATATAGAAGAAATAAAAGAAAGACAATTTAAGCAAATTATCGAGGGGGGAAAATCCAATAAAGTTAAAGTGTACAAGAATGTAACTTCTGTTTTATGCTGTTTTAAGTTTTGTACTACTGATTTTTTAAATTATGTGCATTTATCATTTGCATAAAAATAATTGATTTTAAAAACATTATGTGGTAGCAGAGACCATATCCTTGACCCCAATAATGTCAATGTGGTAATGGGGACATGTGGCATCTTCAAATTTTCCGAAGTATCCAACCTGCCTACTCATTTATAACGTAGATTGACCTTGAGCACATTACAATAAAGGAATCAATGTTGTTCCTGTCTCACTTGGAATAATAATAAGCCAGTGAATATTCATTAAAATTAAAGAGCAGCCAGAAAACCAGTAAGCAGCATCCTGGGAACTATAACATACTTAGCTCTTCAAATCATTTCTTGATTACAGGTAAGTACTAGGTATTTGGAGACTAGGTCATATAATGGTAGTAACTATCACTGGTAATTTTGTAGCATGAATAAGTGTTCAATTTTCCACTAACTTCAATAAGAAATCAGAATGATTTGTAAATAAACTGTTTATTCCTAAAAAAGAAAGCCCCAAAGAGGTTTGTAGTTAAAATGAATTTAAAAACGAGAGGCAGAAAAAAAAAAATGGTGTGCTAGCTTACTTTTCAGATTTTAGTTGATGAAAAAGAAAACAATTAACATTTAACTTGGGATAACATGTACTAGAACAAATTCTTGTAAGCATTGCTATATGCAACATTTACATAAAGATGTGGAGAGATATTTTACAAGATGAACATTTTAAACACATGACATTTGTGGAGGTTGAATGGGAGAAGTAGCACTCATTGTCCCTGCACTTGGTCTGCAAATCCAGATTTGCAATATTCAGATTTGCTGTTGTTCTGTCTCTATAAATCAGTTCTGCCATAGCCAAGCAGCAATTATGCCTACAATGGCTGCTGAATGCCGTGTGCATTCAGCCACCTTTATATTCCCCCACAGTAAAGGGTGTCACTACATTTTAAATTATTAACATTAGCAAGGGGAATAGGGTGTTTCAGAGGACTTGTAACAGTACATAAACAAAGACATTTGTGAAGAAATATATATAACAAAGAACCACAACAAGAGAAGCTTGCAAAGTACCCATAAGGATAACAGCAGGAATGTATCTGAAAATATGCCCTCATTTCCATAATGAGCTACCCTAATGTTTTCTGTTGAAATGAGGGCTTTACCTTAAAAGATCATACCAAAGAAAGAAAGAAGAAAATGAAGTACTAGATTAGATTCTAGCTGAGGTAGGGAAAGTCGAATGGAAGAAATGAAATGTATGAATTGCCTTTTTTTTTTTTGTTATATTCATATACACCTAAAGCTTTTTTTTTTTTTTTTTTTTTCCCACAGCCCTCTCCCACTACTCTTTCCTGTCTTCAAAATAGTTTGGTGGTCTGCAAGTTCTAAAAGCTGGTATTTCTAGCATATGCATTTTATATGTATATTAAGATAAAATCCCTAGTCTTCTTAACTGAGCTTACAAACTTCAAGATACTCTGTTGAAGGGAAACAGAATGCTTATGTCCTGGATAAAATCCAATCTCTCAAACTGGGTAAAAAGAATTTGAGATAAGGAAATAACTTGCCAAAGAAAACAGACAGAAAAGATGTCTTGTGTTCTGCCAAACAGCGGATATGCTATCAAAAATGAAAGAAAGGACTTGCTAAAACTTTTGAAACAAAAACAGCTAGTACTGCTTGGTTTCAGGATGAGTATGGAAAAATAGAATCCTTTATGTAGGGTAAGGGGGGAATCCCCAAATACTGCTTGTTCACAGGCTTAAATGAGTAAGGAAGTCATATTTCCAGTGAAATGTTCATGCTTACATTTTCCACATCAAGAGCTGGAGAAAGCCCAGAGAAAAACAAAAATAACAATAGAGGGTAGAAGATAAGAACTTAAATTGCAATTTTGTGGACAAAGGATTATATTAAAAATTTGGAGAAAATTAAAGAAAGGTTGGACCTGAGGAAAAAAGTCTACTGTGGTCGTAATTTTCCATCTCCAAGTCTAAAGAAAACAGAACAAGGGCAAATAGTAAAAGAAAAATTGCATTTAGATAAGTCATAAAATCTCCTGAAAGAAAAGAAAATCAATAAAACAATAGATAGTCTAGGCTAGTAAGAGGTTGTGAAATGATTGGAACTCAGTGATTCTCAGAATGAGATAGATTCTTCAAGGCAGCTACTGTCCATTCACCTATCATCACATGGCCTTTTTTTTTTCCCCCACAGCTCTCTCCCACTACTCTTTCCTGTCTTCAAAATAGTTTGGTGGTCTACAAGTTCTAAAAGCTGGTATTTCTAACATAAAATTTGCTAATCTTTCAGTTTTTATTAATTAGAAGCTAATAGGATTCTATCTCTGGATTTACAGTTTTAAAAAGTTTTATTTTGGTATACTGGGATATCTGTAACTTATTTGGCATAATATATGGCCTAATCAGAAATTCTGCTATCAAGTTCTTCACTATATTTTTGAAAAATTATGTACAATTGTAAATTTGAAGTACAGTTTTTGAAGAGTCAGACTTAAAACAAAGGTAAGAATACATATATTAAGTCTTGATCCCTTAGCTCAGGGAAAGCAGAACAGACCATAGGCAAGGACTGTCAGTGGCCGACAACTAATACTTGAGTAATCATTATGTATCAGGTACTTCACATGTGATATCTTTTTTTAATGTCTTATAATTTTAGTTTAAAAAAATTTTAATAGACAATAACTGCACATATTTATGGGGGTACACAGTGATGTTGCAATACACATAACGTATAGTGATTAGATCAGGGTAATTAGCATATCTATCATCTCAGAAACTTATTATGTCTTTGTTTTGGGAACATGCAATATCCTTCTAGCTATTTGAAACTATATAGTATTGTTAACTACAGTCATCCTACAGTGCTACAGAACACTAGAACTTACACCTCCTATCTAGTTGTAATTTTGTATTTTACAACTTCGAAGTAGGTGTAATTATCCCTATTTAGACTATGCTTGTATGAAACAGAAATTATTTTCATTTTACAGATGAGGAAACTGAGACGCAGAGAAGTAATCTGTCCAAAGTCCACTGGGTTATAAGATTCATAACAAGAACTACAACTTGGGTCTATCTGAATCTTAAACTTCTGGCACTATACTTGCTCACAGGTTTGAAAAGAAGAGCTTTAATTTCTACTATTTCTCAAGAATTTGTAATGCTTTCTCTTGTCACTGTGCTTTCAACTTACAGGGGTTGCAGTTTTGATAAAAGACAAACTGATTTAGCTTCTAGCTTTGTTAGATCTGTAATTCAGAAGCAACTCCAGGCTTCCATTTCTACTAATGCTTTCTAAATCTAATTATTTTATAAATACTCCTGTTGCTTTAATTCACTTTTTACCCTAACATTATTAATCAAGTTTAACTTTGAAATCTCCATATTTTATGTGAGACCTCCCAAGGCTATCCAATCTTATTTTCCTTTGTAAATTTATTGTTGCTCAGCCTATTTCATTAAGGACAGCTTTAATTTTAATACTTTATAATTATTTTCAAAGTGCATGATAATGGTTTATCAGTCTGGTTAGTACATCAGAGATTTCTATTGGCGCTATCAGAGATGTTAACATCCAACAGTTTTACCAAAGTGTAATTGTTATAGATGTCTTGTTTAACATATAACTTTTTTGTTTATTGGAATTAAGCAATTACCAGACATGAATTTATGCAACAAAAATGTTTAATGTGAACAGTGACATGCATATTTGATAGCTCACTGCAGTCTGCATCATTGTCTCTAGATTCCAAAATTTCATTTTAAGCCGTTTAGTACTTACAGAACAAAGGGGGTTATCTTAGATAACTTTTAATATCCTGGGCTATTTTCCAATTCACGATACAGGGGAAAAAAAAAATGTGTCCAGGGCCCTTAAAAGAAAATACTTTGAATTTAAATATGACACATACATTAAGCCCACGTGACACGCCAGGGAGGCGGTGGAAGTCAAGTGCATTTGTTTTTGTTACATCCATCAGGGCGATCTCTTTCACAATTCTGGGAGAGGCCTGTTTGTTCTTCCACTCCCACAGTTGAAGTTTGGACAAAGTTTGAGAAAATCCCAGGCACCTGCGGCTCCTAGCGAAGCCCGCGAGGAGCATAGGGGAAAGCACCTCTTCCCCAGTTTTCAGTCTTCAGATCGCAGGCCTCTCGGACCCGCAGAGCGAGCGTCACGCTGCCGCGCCTGAGAAATAAGAGCTATTTCAAGGACGGGCCCTGGGTCCTCACTGACGCTTCGCAAAGGTGTGCGTCCGCCCAAGGAAGGCCGGCGGCGCGGCGGCGCAGTGACCGCGAGGAGTCTCCACCCATCTTCTCTTCAAGCAGCAGTAGCTGGGTCTGGGTACCCAACCGACGAGCCGAGACGCCAGAAGCCAGAGGACGAAGTTGAAAGCCTGCGCCCCGAGCCAACCGGAATTCCACTTAGCTCCGCGCGGTCCGCGCCTCGGCCGGAAGGGGGCGTGGCTTCGGGCCGGCGCGGCGAGGCCCGCCGCCGAGTGGGGGGGTTCCTCCCGGGCCCCGGCCGCGCGTTTCCGGTGCGCTCCCCCGCGCCCTCCGTCCTGTGGTCTCGCCCGTCCCCGCTGCCATGTTGGATTGTGCGGCCGCCGCCGCCGCCGCTGCGGGAGGGTTGGGGGAGGAGTTGGGAGTTTAGCGCAGTCGCTGGAGTGCGAGGACAACGACCATCCGGCCCTATCCTGGCCGGGCGGGAGCTGGGAGCTTCCCTTTCTCAGCGCGGCCCGAAGGTGGCTCGCCGTCGGCGCCTGCGTCCCTCGACCTCCTCCTCCTCCGCGCTCCGGAGGAGCTGCGAGATGTGGCGCCTCTGACTCCGCTTCTCCCCGCCCCTGTCACCGAGAGGGGTAACGAGCTCTCGCCCACTCGCGGGAGGAGACGGCCCTGGACTCCCAACCCTGCCGGCGAAACCATGAGCTCCGTCCAGCAGCAGCCGCCGCGGAGGGTCACCAACGTGGGGTCCCTGCTGCTCACCCCGCAGGAGAACGAGTCCCTCTTCACTTTCCTCGGCAAGAAATGTGTGGTCAGTGGACAAGAACCGCGTCGCCACCCCTGACGTTACCTCACGGGCCCGGACTTGGGGGCCGGGAAGTGGGAGTGGGGAAGGAGGCGGGAGCGGCGCGGGGAGGGTCCCGCTTGTCGGCCAGGCCTCCCGCCAGCCCCGGCCCCTCGTCGGCGCCCTCGCCCTGCTCCCTGGCTGCGGGCTGTGGCGGTCGGGCGCCGCCTCCCCGAGCTTTGGGGAACAAGGGAGTGTCACCTCCGCAGGCCTGTCCTCCAGCCTGGCCGGGCCTCGGTCCGCGCCCTGGCTGCTGGTTAAAACTTTACTCTCAGGCCACAAGGGGATTTTCTTGCAAGAGTCGCTTGGTCCCAGAATCTGGGCCCTTGTTCTAGCTCTCGCGTCACCTCCTCCTGCTGGATCTGGGGGTACCTTAACAATGCCAGGTTTGAGGAGTGGATAGGTCGGGGAAGGAAGGTGGTTTTCACTCTCCCATTAGGATTCCAGGAGGGAATGAAGTCGAGTGCAAGAGCCTGGGCTCTCTTCAGATTAGAGAGGGTAAAAAAATGTTACTGCTCTTCGTTAAAGAGAAACAAGATTTATTTCTCCAGCAACCTTGTCTAGGCCTGGTTTCTACTCTCCTTCCCACTGATTTTTTCCCCCATTGGTGGGAGGGGATGCTGCTCTTCCCGCAGCCATGCGCAGGGAAACCTCAATCTCTGGTAGTTCTTGGTTTTGGGGGCCGAGAATGATTCTTAGTTTGGTGCTGTGCGGCCAATTCCAACCCCAGATGGCCAGTTGGGAGCGAGCAGTTCTGCTGTGGGAAGGGGAATGTGTGTTGTTGACGGAAGCATTCGTTACATTGGCTGCTGGCACTTCTGGGGGTGGGGAGGTTCTGCTCTGTGGTATAGGCCTTGTCGGAATCATACTGCGGTGCTGGGTTGAAGTGTGGTTTGTTGAAATCCTGGCTGGGTCTCTTTCTCTCCACTTTGTTTGCTAGCACCTGCAGAGTATGTGCCACTGGAATCCAGAAAACACGGAAATTTCAACAGAGCAATACCATTTTATAACTCCTTTAATGTTAGGTATGCCAAACCAGATTTCACCTGCTGCTTTACGAAGTTAGGGTTAGACAATTTCTGGAAAGTTCTTGGATTAATTGTTAACTTCGTAGGAGTCCACCCTTTGTATCTTGTGCCATCCAGTTGGAGATTGAATCGTTCCATTCAATTTCAGATGTGTTTCAAATTTCGGAACTTAGACCTTAGAGAACATTGAGTTTCGTGATTAGAAGGATGAAACGAGAGGAGTGGCTCAAAACGAGAATTTTGGGTAACAACTTTAAGCCCCTCCCCATTCACACACTTTTTTCAACAAATGAGAAAACTGATCCAGTGAGCCCAAGTCATACAACAGTTTAACGATGTAACCAGAACCAGAAAACCGGGACTCCTCATGCCTAGTCCTATCCCATGGTACTTTCCACTACATCATGTTGTTTTAGAAGGGTGTTTTTTTTTTCTTGTTACCGATTTATTTCCAAAAGTGGTGTTAAAGGAATAACCACTTTGCCTTTTTCACCAAAAACTAATTAAAATACAAGATTCTTAAAGCACCACTAATGTTTGCATATGTTCAGTTTAGGAAAATCTCCAGCACTTTGAATGTTAGTTACCTCCAATGAAAAAAAAATTCAGTTGCTGGTGTAGTAGATTAGCTGTGTAACCTGTATCAAAAAGGAAGTAGTCGTACTGTGTTCTACATACCACACACATTAACTTTACGCAGAAAGAGCATTACATTTATACACAAGTATAGTAATTGTCCTGTGCTTACCTATAGTTTTACTGGTTTCAAAAAATGGCAGATGCGGAAAAATACTGTGATGGGGAAAAATGATGTTGCACGTTGGTTAGTGTAAGTGGATTGCTGAATAGGCTGTCAGTATTCAGTGCTTAATTTCTTTACGCCATCTTTTATTAATTAACTTTACCTTTTGCATTTCTGTCATTTAAAAACCACGCTGTGTCAGTTGCCTGCTTTTGTGGGATAAGTCGTTGCATATACTAATTTCAAAATTTGAAGTCCCTAGTTAATAGAGAGTTAAGAGTGATATTTTAATTTTTGAAATAAACTTTTCCTCCCTTTGCTGATTATGCAGGTTTTTTTTGTCTTTTAAAACATTACCGAAATACATTGTCTCATAATAAATCCAGCAGTAAGATTTACAGGTCAGACCAAATGTGTTAGGCAGAAGAGTACTCAGAGCTCTATTTAAGAATTCAAGAAATGAAACAGAAGCAGTTACAGTCTTAGCTCTGGAGGAGCTTCATATCTTCTTTCATTCAACAAACATGCATTGATTAAATGTTGAGGTCAAAAATCTAGAAGGGCTGAAATTTGTCCTCAGGGAGCTTACTAGGTCTAAAAAGGAAAACGTGTAAACTGATAAATAAGTCAGTGCTTCAGAGTGATGTGTAAGAGGCTACTTTTCGCAATAGAAAATGTCTTGGCTTTGTAATAGCAAATATGGGTTCAAACTGGGGGTCACTTTGGATAAGTTTCTTAAGCTTCCTATCCTAGATTTGGTTTTCTCATGTGTAAAACAAGGATACTATCTCATGGGTGGTTGTGTGGATTAAGATTGTGTGTAAATATATGGAAACTATTTTTATAAAGGTTTAGGGGATTAAAGGAGAGAATGGGGGGAGAGAGGTTGAGTAAAAGCTTGTTAAAATGGATAACTGAATATTTATATTTAAACAGGTACTCCCTAGGCTGATGAGAGGTATGAAACAACTTGAAAAGTTCGGAGACCTACTAATAACTTTATTAGGTTTCTTAGGGAGCAAGGAGGGCTTCTGCTTGGGCTCTCAGATTTAGGTATGCATTGGTATCATTGTGGAGATTATGAGAAATGCATATGCCTAGACCCAATTCCTAGATAATATTCGGAATCACTGGATATGAGGTGAAGCTTGGACATATCTATTTTTAACAAGCTTAACGGAAGATTTTAAAGTATATCACAGTTTGAAAACCACTGCTGAAGACCACGTCTGATAGGATAATCCTTGAGCACATTGGAAATCTTAATAGATTTTTCTTCAATTTTTGGTCTATATTTTGCAAATTGAAGCTCAATTAAGTTAAATCAAATTCTTTTAGTACAGCATTTCTCTGACCGCTTAAGATATCAGTGTACATTTCACAACTAAGAAGGAGATACAGTTGAGGAAGTATTGCACTCTTTAAGGGGGACTCACAAGATCATATTTGACTTAGAAAATTTTCAGGGGAAAGGTGGAGGCAGTATAGAACGTAGATTGAGGATTGTGAGGGAAAGACAAGGGAAATCAGATAGTTGTTTTATAGTAGTGCAGGTGAAATATGATGAGGGCCTAAATTAAGAGAGTACTTTGGGAATTCAAGAACAATTAAAGTCTCCAGCAGAAATTAGTCCCAGTTATATATAGAAGGTGAGGAAAGGGAGTTTCAATAAAGGCAGGCATTATAACCACCAGCAGAAAGAAACATATTTTTATTTTCATTCACTGCAAATATGCCTAAATGTTAATGAGACTCTGGATTGGTGATTGGCTTCATGGAGGAGGCAAATCATCAGTAAATCTTTTGTTTTACCACAAAATTCGTTTTGTGGAAGTTGAGATTTCATTGTGATATGTAAATACATGATATGTACTTTTACATAAATAGTTCTGATGCCATTCATTAGCTGGTAGTATTATGAAGGGAGAACTATTTAAGAAGGTTATAAATAAGATTACTAGGTCTTGTTTTGTAGTTATATCTGTTGCCTTTCATGTAGTGTGATTCAATTAATTTTATATAAAGAGTATGTGCAATTTTGCTAAGTGGAGTTCAGCATGTATAGTCCTGAATAAGTGAGAAACTAAGGATTAGGGAAAAGTAAAACATTAAAGTACGTCTCTACAGCCATTTCTGGTCTATATGGATTGGGGTTGATAATGTTGTTGAGCATTATCTTTCCCTGCCATACTCACCTGGTTGGTTTTTTCAAGATTTAGTGATACTTAAGCCATTTTTTTAAATCAACTTTAATCTTTATTTCCTTTATTTCCTCAGCACTTGTTTTAACTTGCTTATTTTCTTTAGTTTTTTGTTTCCTCATTCTCTATATATAATTCTTAGAGATAGACTTTATGCCTCGGTAGTCTTCTGTGATTTTTATAACTTCTAGCACACAGATCAGTGAATACTTATTGATTGATTGAACAATTATAATTGCTCACTTGTTTATTTTTTAGGAGCTTGTTCTGCATTTCTCATTGCTTGATTAGGTTGTTAAGGCCTTCAGTTTTGAATGTACGTGGTATCTGGACTTTAGTCTTCATTTATTATGCGACCAAAATGGTTTAGTTCTGCTGCTGAACTAATATAGGTGGTAACAGTTGTCTAACAGTAGTTTGTTTCTGTTCTGAATCAGACCTTTTGGGTAGGGATTCTTAAATAGGCATAGAGGGAAGGATATGCTTAGCAGGATCATTGTGTTGATGATGGCCTGAGTAAGGCACTACTGGTGGAAAGGTTAGGCTGGGAATGTATTTCACCTTGAGTAGTAAGGAAAAATAAAAGTTAAAATTCACTGGATTTGGAATATACAAAGATGACAAGATACCCTTGTCTAGTATAGAGGAAAAAGATTAGCACAAAAATGTATGTGAGGCAGCGTAGCTACAAGCACAAGAAGAGATTCAGAAAAGTCCAACGGTTGGATTTTGAATTTTGTTTCTGTTTATTCTTAGCTCTATAATACAGGCAAATTTCTTAACTAGTCTCAGCCTTCATGTCTAGATTTGTAAAATGGGCTTAGTCAAAGATTTCAAAGAGTATACAATAATTATGGAAGATGCTTAGAGTCCATGACACAAAGTATTCGGGGAGTTTGGAGGAGCATATGAAAGAAAGTTGTTATTAATACTATTTAGTGCTCAGTTTAGATTTCCTGTTACTGGCAGGGAGGATTTACAGTAAAATTTTCAACT